ATCGTCCTTATCTCCCCTTCTTCTTTTTTATGTTTGTTACTCTCTTGTAACACCTCTAATCTTCTGGCGCTCATATGACCTTATGCAGTTGCGAGCACCGTAAAACCTCTACTAAAAAAACATTTAAAAAACATGAGCAGCCATCCAATCAAAACCAGAAAAGAAACATGTTCCTGCAGACACCCAACAGCAGACAGGCATGAAGTGCTATGAAGGAGCATTCACTTTCTTTTGCAGTAGGACTTTCTCACCGAGCTGCCCAAAGCCACTGACAGCTTTTGTCTGTGCATCCTGGTAGCCACGTTCACTACGGGGCACTCCGAGCCTGGTCAGTAGTCTGAGGGAGTTGTGAGAGAAAAAACAAAATGGTTCTGTTTAAAGCATCAAATTAATAAAGATAAAAATAATAAATAGCATTTGTATAGCACATTTCCCCACTCAAAAGCAAGCTCTATGCGCGCTCTAAGCGCTTTACACTATATTATTACCCCAGCAGATCACAGAACAATCAGAAACATTCTCAGCTTCCCGGTAAGCATACAGAGCAAGCAGCTGGTTAAGCGCTCAAACACTAACAAACTGACAGATATAGCTTCAATAGTTTATTCATGAGGGAATCGTGTATCCCAAAAGGTAATGCTTACACAAGAATCACAGATAGTTGTTTTTAATAACCAAGTTGAAGATATTAAAGGGATTGTAACATTAGTAACAAAAATAAGCAAACATCAAGTCATTCATTCTTGAATATGAAACAAATTGAGTAAAATAAAAAGAATTGTCCTGTTACATAGAAAAATAGAAAATTAAAAGATAGGACTCTTTTCAAAACATGAATAGAAAGACTTGTGTAAAAGGAAAACTGAAAGATTTTGTAAACTGAAAGTCAACCCATTACACTCATGCACCTCAACATAAATGTTAGTTCAAAATTCAACGGACTGCAACGCCAGAAAGGTTTACACACATTCACAAAACACCAAGTTTTTTAACACTGAAACAAATAAGTTCTTGTCCACTGCTTTTGATGTTGTTGTGGTTAAGCTCAACTCTTTATCTCCGGCCCGCTCCCAGCAACTCGCTGTCAAAACCACTGTGCCGGTGAGCTGCTGACAGCGGCTCGGGCACATTTCTTAACGACGAGTTCGACATCAAATTACTTTTCGGCAATTACCAAAAACAGATCTCTTTTATCGGGATTTCATTCATTAGATGAAGATCTATCAAAATAGGTTCACTTGTTGTGATTTCATGACCATTTTTAGATTTTGTACCAAAAAAGGGCCCCAGCATAGTGGATTTACCCCTCCCCCCTTCCCTAGGACATAAAAAGTTTATGTAATTTTCAGCACAGATTAGTAATCGAGAGGGCTTTACCTGCTTTAAAATGTCCATCTTCTAGGATTCCCTACAATACACAAGGCGGGCCTATGTTATTTCAGGGTGGGAGCGATAAGTTTTTTTAGTTTAAGTAAGAGTTTTACAGCACTTGCAACACAATAAGGTCATACAAGTGCCGAAGAATAGAGGTGTTACAAGAGAGTAACAGACACAAAAAAAGAAAGAGTAGAGATAAGGATGATAGATGTTTGATAGAACAGAAGGAGCAAACCACACCAGCGCACCCGCCAACCACCCACGAGCGATAAGTTCCTCAGTAAGCCACAACAAAGCTTGCAAAGTACTTGGCACCACGGAGCTTGCTGTTGTGTTGGAATTTGAGCTAGATTTGTACAAACACTGTTAATCATTATTAATTACAAGCTGGGTACCCTGTTCGATGAACGGACTCAAAAGAATCGATCGTCAAGTCATTGTGGAACCAGTATGCACTGTTTGTGAACGGAACTCTCACTTGTTTACAATGGCGTCTAAGAAGACGAACAAACCCAAGATTAGATCTAAACGAAACTAATGAAAACCTGAAAATTAAGCTACAGTGACTTCAGACTCCATATTAAAACTGAGCACCCTTTATATGATTCTGAACCACCATTAATTTTGTCAAATTTGAAAGTAAAGTGGTTGGGAAGTTTTAGGCGATCAAAGTGACAAACTTTCACAGATATAATATAGATAGATTACGAAGCCAACAGGAAATACTTGATGGATGAGAAAAATAATTTGGCTCAACAAGGTCCCAAATCTCTGGCTTCCTCTTCCTACATCAGTCTCTTAACCTGCTGCTCCAAGGCAAAAGTATATGTGAGGCAGCGTGGGGAAATCAGGCGCTCGTCAAAATAATGTAATCTGAGAAATCAGTATTTTTCGGCCAGTCTGGACATTTTTGTCAAATTTTTGTTTTTTGGCTCAACACCTTGCATGTTGATTCAAAAGCACTTTTAGGTGTCGATTTTATGAGAAAACGTTGATTAAAGGTATAACAAATGCAAATTTGCAGTTTCCAAGGACTCTTAAGCTATGGAAGTCACCAAATTTGGCGGCCATTTTCTCGCTAATTTTACTTCTGAAAGCACGCAACCCCACCTTCTTCAATTGCAAATATCTCAACTTCTATTCACGATAAATGGATTTTTAAATAATCGAAATCAAGGCAAATGAATAACCTTTAAGATGATATCAATAACTCCATATGCACAAAACTGACAAGCGCTTGATTCCACTGCGTCATGACACATTAGACTTACTAAGGTCTAAAGAAGTAAGAATTGAGAGTGTTAAAATTGAATGACTATCCAGCTAGACAACCATAATGCAATCTAACTGCTCCTAAAAACCACTGACCTCTCCGCCAATCGCGGTATCACTGGCTGAAGGAGGATTCCACAGACTCGTAACGTCTCCATAGCAACGTGCAGGACTACTGACAGGTGTACCTGATCCCGAGGTTCGACAGATTTGCCAAGTTGCCACGGTGCATGAGCCTGAACCAAAGAGTTGGCCCAGTGCAAATGTCCAAAGATTTGGTCCAGGGCCTTGGTGAAATGGAACTCTTCATACAGGGAGTCCACTCTGTCTGGAAGGAGAATGTCACAAAATGTTCTGACTAGACGAAGCTTTCGAGGAACATGGAGACATTGGAGAAAAAAGTCCAAATTTGATAGGATAAAGCTAAGCATGGGGAGAGTCTTGAAAACTGTGGATTCAAACCAGGGTCATCTGCACCAAAATACCAACTGAGTTATCGGCAGGCCCAGAAGAGTAGACCTGCAGCATTAAAACACAGAAATATTACAGACAAATAAGTCACTCAACAAATACAGAGATTTGCACATCAGTGTCTTAACCCTATCCGTACGTCGTTTTTTACTATCGTATCCATACGACATGGGAAACTCTGTGCTACCACTTTCCAAAGAGGAAATTTACTTGTTAATCCGATCCGTACGCTTTGCATAGCAGTCTGTCAAAATGAGTTTTTGAGAAATACTGAAAGTTTCAAAGAGATCTTCATACTAGAAGTACTCTAAAATGTGAAGAATACAACCCCGGGGGTACAAAATGACCCCAAGACGTATGGATAGGGTTAAAAGAAAGAACAAATCATGCTGGGTTTTTTTCTAAACAAACACAACAAATTACCATCTACTATTGGTATTACTGCCATACATGTCAGAAGGAGAAGTGAAATTGCTGTGAAATTTTTTAGGCATAACAACGATGAGAAGGCTGTAGTAAAAGATTTACACTTAGAGTTTCAGTCCAGACACAAACTACACTCGGGGTTTTAGCACATGAGCATGAAGTGGCAAGGAGGGTGTGCGGGGAATGAGTAGGGGAAGAGGACCACAAAAAGTGTTCACTTCTAGAACTTCGTAGTCCAATATATATTCTATCAGCTACCACAAGGAGTTTCTAAAACATCATTTGCAGGCCAGAGCTACAGTATAAAACATGCTACTTACAAATATGCATGAATGCATTTTAGATTCATATTTTGCATTATCTTTTCAATAAAGAATCGTGACAAACATTTCTAAGTCTACTTCTTCCTATTTTAAGTACCAACAATACATGTATGTATAGATGTGTAGGGAAATGTGAACATTTAAGGCTTTTTTCATAAAGTCAGTAGAGCAGTGACAGAACTATTGACATTTTTCTTACTCTGTTCCGGTACTTGTTTCCATAACATGAAGCACATCGAAACAATAACTAAACTAAAGTACCGGTATAAAAGGAATGGCTGATATAACCAACAGAGAGAGAGAGAGAGAGAGAGAGAGAGAGAGAGAGAGAGAGAGAGTGTGTGTGAGAGAGAGAGAGAGAGAGAGAGAGACTAAGAGAGAGAGAGAAAGAGAGAGAGAGAAAGAGAGAGAGAGAAAGAGAGAGAGAGAGAAAAAAAGAGAGAGAGAGAGCGAGAGAGAGAAAAAAACGTCAACTCACTTGGTAACTCGTACAGTAAAGTGTACATTTCCCGCTCTCCAATGGAGAGAAACTCAAACAGATCGTCTTCACACAGGGGAGGCAACTCCTGCCTTTTGTTGACGGTAGGAGCCGTACAGCGACCTAGAAGGTTACCAAGTGTGTTGGCCAGGTCAGAGTTGATCCGCTCTGCCACTCGACTGTCACTGTACGCTGAGGAAAGTAGGGTGTCGTCATCTTAGACATTAAGTTTAATAATAATAATAATAATAATAGATAGCATTTGTACAGCGCAAATCCCGGCTCAACAGTAAGCTCTATGCACTTCACAATCTATACTATTACCCCAGCAGACCTGGGAGCATTCTGAAACAACCTCAACTTCCTGGGAAGCATACAGTGCAAGCAGCCATTTATAGGCGCTAAAACACTAACAAACAGACAAGATCTTTCGCTGTCTGTGGCTGGGTACCCATTCCCACCTGGGTGAAGTGAGGAAAATCATTGTAAAGTGCCTTTCTCAAGGACACAACGTCAGGCCCGCAGCTGGAACCTCCGACCCCGCAACCTCACGATTACGAGTCCGGTAGCCTAACCACTAGGTTAGATAGGTCAAGTTTTCTTTGATTATGATGAGAAATTGTACTGAGTGTTTTGTTGGTTTGTTGAGTAATAACAAGTACGTCCACACAATAATAATAATAATGGCCATTTAGAGCCTGGAAAAACCAAGACAGACAGACAGACAGATACAGAGGGAGCATGAATCATAACAAGAAGTAAGGTCTACCAGAGGAACCCTTGATTCACTCACTTTACAGATAGCAGGCAATTCAACCCCCCCGAAGTTATTCCAAAGAGATGTAAATGGACCTTTAAGAATGAAATTTTTATTGATAAATACAAATAATGTACGGAATAGTATTTGTTGTACTTTTTGGCACTCAGCTTGTGCTTTCCATCCGCAAAACAAAAGTCAAAGATATTCAAATGCTTTTCTTCCACAATCATGCCGCAAAACATCTGTTTAAAAAGTCCCTTGCGTCTTATCATACGTTTTCACTCATGTCAGATAAAAATAGTTCACAACATTCAGACTCCAACTAAAACAAATAATAAATGGCAATGACCTACCCCCATCAGAATTGAGGCTCCCCTCTTTGAGCAGAAAATAGCGAAATCCATCGACTCCAAAGTGGTTTATCTTCTCCACCGGGTCAATCACATTGCCCAAGCTCTTGGACATCTTGAAAAAAAAAAAGGGGGGGGGGGGGGGGAGACAGATGTTCAAAACTTAATCAAAATATGCCATGGAAGAAGCGCTCTATGTATCACTGCAAACTGAAATCCCTCCCACCCAGCATGCACCTTTTTCTGTGCCATTGTAGTTTTATATCACTGCTTATAGTGGCACTGTCTTCAAAATGATGAGTTGGAACAATAGGCATACTTATGTAACAAAATTCAGTCACAGTCATTGGTTTCCAAATACATTAAGTCTCTATGAGCCATTATGTGGTGAGCTAAATTCATCTCCAACATTGTTATTGAAAAGCAATAACCAAATGAGCAAAAAAAATGTTAGTCCAGGACAAATGAATCAGCCTTAAAAAGCCATTATTTCCTACATTTACCATTGGAGTACTTTTTGCTATAAATATTCAGCACCAATCTTAACATATTTTAGACAATTTACGAGGCAAGCTGTCTTTGCAGCTCACCGGACAGGATTGAATTACTTTTTAAATTGTTTTTAAAAATTCAAGCAGCACTGGATTTGTTGAGAACAATTGTTCAGACCCAAAAAATTGTTCAGAGCCAATCCTATAATTTCTTAAAGGGATTGATATCAAAGATGGAGGTCTTTGGAAGTAACAACTCAGCCGAGGTTTCCATCAGCCTTTATTACGAGACTCACCTTTACTTTGTCCACAAGCCAGTGAGAGTGGCAGATCAGACGTCGTGGTGGCTCCATCCCTGCTGCTATAAGGAATGCCGGCCAGTAGATAGCGTGGAATCTGAACACAGAAACATACATGGAGGAACAAAGACGAGCAATGTCACAGTACAGGTTTTATTCATTTGGATGTGGGGTTGCTTTTAGAACGGATTTTGTGCAACAGTAAATCACTATAACCACAACTGAAGAGATTCAGTGAAACATAAATAAAGAAAATCCATAAATGCAGCAGCAGCTTCTCCATACTAATCTATAAATAAACCAGTCATTAGGACAAACTTGCTGCAGTTGAAATAAACATGAATGAGTACTGCTGTTAATTTTTTTCTTACATGTAATATATTATTTGAGGCAGAGAGAAAAGATACTGGACAGGTTGACAACATGGCTGGGAACAGCAAGAACAACAGACACCATCCCTGCAACGCAAGACAGAGTGAAGTGGAGGTCCATGATCCCCCACGCTAGTCGGCAAGGCACCGGATCATTTGAACATGTCTATATAACTCTAGAGGTCTGTGATAAATTCCTGCATGTGGTTGAAAGATGCATCTGATGTGATATGTGTATTATAGTCAGTTTTATGACTCTCTTCATAATGAATTTTAAAGAAAGTAATATATAATTCAAATTCTATGTATTGCTATGTCAGCGTGTTGACAAAAAAAATTACTTCTCAGATTTTCAGCCCTATGGACATAGATAAAAGCCAAATTTAAAGGTGGAGTATGCTCAATTTATTAGCAGGAAATAATTGTAGACATGTTAAACTTGAAGAAAATGGCATCAGTTAAAAATCTACAAATTTGATCCTTGTGTCAATATTTGGCAGAGATATAAAATTATCTCCATTTTTTAATTCCGAGAAGTGACTCATTTTGTCAGCACACCTCACATGTGTTTTTTAACCATTCTGTACAGTCAAAAAAAAATTTCCCACCAGTACAATGTTATTAGCGTAATCAAACAGTGAGATAGAGTTACGGGCCCATGGCACTAGGGGGCACTGAGCGGGCCGAACAGAGTTGCCGCCCCATGACACTAGGGGGCACTGAAGAATTTAGTAAAAAGGGAGGGCGGGAACTCTGTACATTCCCTTCCGTCTCAGTAGTTGAGATAGCAGTGGCAGACGGTCCGAAGCTGCCGGTGAAGTGACGTCCGAGGGCCCAACAATTTGACCTGAGCCGACCAGCGTAGACCGCTCCGCGCCACGTGGAAGCCAATTTGATTCCTCAGTATTTTTGTGTTTGCATATAACTCAGAAGGTAAGCACAGTCTTTTCGACCTTGCAACTACAGACAATAAAGTATAATCTTATCTCTCATCTCTTATCTTTACCTGAGAATGTCTTTCCCAATGAGCTGACAGTCCGGTGGCCAGTGATAAGTATCACAATGAGGGTAGCCCGACGCTGTCAAGTAGTTGACCAGTGCGTCCAGCCACACGTAAATCTGTCCAACAAGACAATGACAATGACAATAAAAATCTTTATTCATCTCGCAGGGAGACATTTGTCTTGGTCGTTAACAATGGCAGAAGACGTTACAAAGGTTAAGTACACTCACGCATACGCACAACAAGACAGGACATATATTAAATACATGCTGGTACAACCTGTTCCGTAAAACTCTCTCTCTCTCTCTCTCCTTCCCTCCCTCTCTCTCTCTCTCCCTACCCCTATTTGCTATTTTTCGGTACTTCACAAAATTGACTGATTTTCTTTGTTTTTAGAAGAAAATTGGTCTCGATCAAGTCTTTAGTTTGAGCTGGGGCTGTCCCGGTGCAAGAGGTACAGTGTTAGCTTCTCTGTTCCCAAGGATCGAAACGTGTCAGCCGCGAAAGAGTTAATTAATTCTGTTCTAAGATGTTCCCCTTAGTACTCCTTTTCCTGTGCTTTATGTCTGTTCTACCATCTACTTTCTTCTGTACTCTCTTATTCTTCCCCCGCGCCATCCACGCCCCCACCCCCACTGCTCCTCTTTTGCTTATTCCTAGCTCTTTGTGGGTGGTTGGCGGGTGCTCTGGTGTGGTTTGCTTCTCCTTTCCTATGAAACATCTATCATACTTATCTCCCTTTCTTCTTTTTTATGTTTGTTACTCTCTTGTAACACATCTAATCTTCTGGCGCTCATATGACCTTATGCGAGTGCCGTAAAACCTCTACTAAAACTAACTCCTAACTCTTTTTTTTAATACACATATAGCATCTTCTTACTGCTGCCGTTCAGCCACATCCCTAACCTTATACATGTACAGTCATCTAGCCTTCTTAGACAAGGGCGAAAAAAGACAGAGGTTCTGTGTGCAAGTTGTGCACGTATAAGGTCCATTGGTAGACCTAAGATCGATAAGAGTAGGCCTCGGCTGGCAGCACAGAAACATTTGAGAATGAATTCCTTCCAAAAATGCAAATACTCTTGTCGGTGTATAAACGTTTCGAGTACCTTCAAAATCGGAATGTTTCTACCTTTATACGTTACGGCAAGGGGGTCTACAGAGTAGGAAAAGCAGTCACACAATACGTAACAACCAGTTGCATTGCAGATTGAAGAGTCAGCACATCACACCTCTGAGATCTAGCTGGGGAACGCAAAAGAGAAGAAGCCTTTTAGCACATAAAGATTGTTGTAGGATCGTGATAGATCCCAATTGGGTATTCGAAATAGGGCCGCCATCTTTGTAATCCAGCTTGACACCAACCAGGCTAGGATGTGCCCAGCTAACAGGCGACTATGAAGGAATAATAGCATTCTAAGTAATAAAAATTGACATCCATGACCACACCACATCACGCGAAAGATTTGTAGTATTTTAAATGTTTATTTTCTCATAGGGAGATTCATTGGCTTTCTAAAATGTTACAGGAACTGGAAAATCAATACAAATCAGATAAAATGGTGTCATAAGTGTTAATCGTAAACGTTTTAAGTCGTTCCACAAAAAAATAAAAAAAATAAAAAAAATAAAAAAAGGATACATGTAATACAAAATGCATAATGTGCAAGCTTCGAGACTTTCAATGTCGCATCATTGTCTAGGAGTTCCCCAAAACAGTGTTGATAACAAATAGCGGGAATGAAAGAAAGTGTCACCGATAAACCCAGTCGTGAACATTATCATTAACAAGTACACAAGGTATACTAAAATGGGGAGAATATTTTTTAAGTCAACCTTCACAGTTTTTGATGTAAGGCTCATAGAACAGATGATACATAATACAATTTAAACTGAATATCAGCATTTCGAGTAAGTCTAATTTTAGCTGGACAC